AGTTTCTAGGAAAACTAGGAGAAACTTGCGGAAGAGGTCAACTAATCTTCTAGCCAAGTCGGAAGACAATTTCAGGAGGAGTCAGAATCCTTCAAGGTTCGTTCAACAGAAGCTTAAACATGCTTAAACTATGAAAACAGTACTTCCCGAATCCCGGGAATTCCCGGGAAGAGCTATTTCTGGATCCCGAAACTTACTTGAGGTTTGCAGCAGAATAAAAGCTACGGCATTTTATCTCGTGTACAGAGAGTCATAAATGGTAATAAGAACCTTTTCGAGAACAAGGTTCTAAGGTTCGGAGACAGAACAGTGTCGTCGACCTAACCTCAATCTTCAACAACTCTCAACACGTAAACAAATCCGGAGTGATTTGAGCTTTGGGCTTAATTGCTTCTGTAGAAAAAACACGATAATCACCGATTTTTCGTTTATAAAAGCTCAATCTCGTAAGCAAGCTATGCCAAATGATAGAGGCATAATTCATCTACCTCATAGTGTTATAAGTTTTAGAAATTGAGCTTTCATTCGCGAGAAATCTCCGATTTACGTGTTTGTTTACAAATGCAATGACGCACAAATCTCAAATCACTCCGGAAATAAAACTATATTGCTTCAACTCGTTACAAATCATCATCTAAAGAGTGTTGGAAAAGCTGAAAAACATGCTGATAGAGGATAGAATTTGCGTCAGTAGAACGTTTCAGAAAAGTTTGAAATCACTTCGGAAAGTACTGATTCACTTCAGAAACAGAACAGAAATGTTCGGAATAACTTCGGAAAGTCTTGAATCTTTTCAGAAAATTTCTAAATCAAGTTCTAAGTAAGTGCTGAATCACTTGATAAAAAATCGGAATCACATCTAAAAGAGCTGAATCATTTCAGATATGTTCTGAATCACTTCACAAAACATATAAATCCCTTTCAAAATAACTGAATCACTTCAGAAATGTTCGGAATCGCTTCGGAATGTGCTGAATCACTTACAAAAATCAAAATCACTTCCAAAAGAGCTGGATCATTCCAGATATGATCAGAATCACTTCGGAAAGTGCTGAATCCCTTCGGAAATAAGCTGAATCACATCACAACAAATTAAAATCCCTTCCCAAAGAACTGAATCAGTTCAGAAATGTTCGGAATCACTTCGGAAAGCATTGGATAGCTTCAGACAAATTCTAAATCACTTCGGAAAGTGTTGAATCACTTCAGAAAAGTTTGAAATCACTTCAGAAAAATTCTGAATTACCTTTGAAAAATTCGGAATCACTTCATTGCGTTACTGTTGCATTTTATGACATATGAATTGGTCACAAAATAGTGGCAGCAGCTTATATATGACAGCATGTGCTACTTGGGATTCAATGACTTCGGTAGCAATTGAAGCTGCTCGCAAAAGTTTGAATCCAGTTAAAAAAAAATGAGGAATCACTTCAGAAAAGTCCGATCTAAGCTCGGAAAGTATTGAATCACTTCGGAAAGTATTTATCCAACAAAAAGAACAAGATTTGGACTCACTTCGGAAAGGGATTGATCAGCTTAATAGAATGGGGATTTAGTTCGAAAACATTTAAATCAACTCAATGGCCTATAATATTCAAAAATATGTTCATGCAGGATTCTGAGCAGCATTCCGATGTTAATCCAGATTTTTCCGAAAGGAATTTAATACTTTTCGAAGTGAATCCAAGCCTTCTGGGAGTGATGTATAAGTTGCGAACTGAAACCACCACAGATTCACTTCGGAAAGTGCTGAATCAGTCTAGAAAATTTCGGAAACTTTCGGAAGTTAGTCTATCCGGGAGCGATTTCTGAAGTGGTTCTGTGCGTGCTGAGCGTTTCTGAAATGGTTCAGTACTTTCCAAAGTGATCCTGATCTATTTTCAAGTGAAATCGCCGTAATCGAGACCTTTTTCGATGTGCTGCGATAAGAATCGCCTCCCTGAAGTGAATCATGTGGAAAAATTATTGAAAAATTCGTTGAAATGAGGACAACAAAGCGAGAATCGCGTCAACACATTCCTATCAATTCCCGAATTGACCTACATTCGGACGCTGCCAGCGCTGTTCTTGCCTATTTTAAAGTTGAGATCACCAGTTGCTACACATTGAAGCTGCTTGCTAGTTCCACCCATCGTTTGTTGCTTCCTTGTGTAATACAGGTGATCTGTTGATAACGGAGTAGCAACCGCGGGTGGTTAATCATTTTCACGCTCAATTCTTGATAGAGCTGGAATTAGGGCGTAACAGGTTTTGTAAACAATGACTTTTCTCGATGATTTCTCAAAACTCAAGGCACGCCCACGCAAACCAACATAACCATCGGGAAGGGGAAGTCTTCCCCTAACCGATGGTGATGTTGATTTGAGTGGGCGAGCCTTGGCTTTCTAGAAATCATCGAGAGAAGTCATTGTTTACAAAAGCTGTTACGCCGTAATTCTAGCTCTATCTACAATTATGTCTGTACTATCCAAAGTGGTTCAGTATTTTCTGAAAGGATTTCAAGCTTTTCTGCAGTAAGTCGGTACTTTTCGTACTGATTCCGATATTTTCTGACGTATTTCAGTACTTTCCGAAGAGGGTTTGCACTTTTTTTAAACGATTCTGTGCATCCAGAAGTGATCACGATTTTTCTGAATTGATTAAATATTTTCTGAAGGGATTCCAAACTTTTCTGAAGTGATTCAGTTGATACATACAGAGTGATGCAGTTCTCAAGGAAGTGATTGCAAACCTGAGTGAATTGATGCAGTACTTTCAGAAATTATTCCAAGATTTTGTGAAGTGATTCAGTTCTAACGGAAGTGATTGAAAATTTTCTGGAAAGATCCAGTATTCTCCAAAGTTATTCAATACTATCTGAAAAATTACCAAGCTTATCTGAAATGATTTGAAACATTTCAAAAATGATAACAATTCCAAAGTTTTCTAAAGTGATTCAGTACTTTCTGAAGAGATCCCGATTTGTTCTGAAGTGATTCAGTACTTTCTGAAATGATTTAGAACATTCCGAAGTGATTATGAGCTTCCTGAAGCGATTCAGTACTTCCGAACATTTCTGAAGTGATTCAGTGCATTCCTAAGTGATTTCTGGAATGATTAAGTACTTTTAAAAAGGGAATCAGAAATTTTCTGAAGTAATTCAATACTATCCGAAAAGATTGAAAACATTTCTGAAGTGATTGAGCACTTTCCGAAATGAGACCAAACTTTTCTGACGTGATTTAGAAATTTTCATAAATTATTCAGTATTTTCCAAAGTGTTTCCGATCTTTTATGAAGCGATTCAGTCCTTTCCGAAGTGATTAACTACTGTTCGAAGTGATCTAGCTCTTTTCTTGAGTGATTTAGTATTTTCCGAAGTGATTCCGAACTGTAAAAAGCGATTCAGTACTTTTCAAAGTGATTTCGAACTATTCTCAAGTGATTCAGTAATTTCCGAAGTGATTTCGAGCTTTTTTTTTTTTATAAAATTCCAAGTGATTTCAAACTTTACTAGAGTGATTCTGTACTTGGAGAAGTGATGATAAACTTTCTGGAATGATTCAGTACTCTTTGCAGTGTTCATTTTTTTTAATGATTCAGTACTTTGTGAAAGTTTTCAGTACTTTCCGAAATGATTGCGACTTTTCCGAAGCGATTCAGTACATTCCTAAGTGATTCAATCCTTTTCGAAGTGATTTAGTTCTTGCGTAAGTGATGAAAACTTTCTGGATTGATTCAGTACTTTCCGGAGTGATTTCATACTTTTCTGAAGAGATTCAGTACTTTCGGAAGTGATTCTGATTTTGGCAGAATACATGAACTACTTTCTGAAATAATTCAGCACTTTTCGAAGACATCATGAAGTTTTCTGAAGCAATTCAGTACTTCGGAAGAGATTCCGAACATTTTTGAATTGATTCAGTGCATTCCTAAATGATTCAGTTCATGCGGAAACGATTACAAACTTTCCGAAATGATTTCCTTTTTTTTCTGAAGCGATTCCGATCTTTTCTGAAGTCATTTAGTACTTTATGAAGTGACTCCTAGCATTTCTAAAGTAAATCAGTACTTTTGGAAGTAATTCCGGCCCTAACTACTTTCTGAAATTATTCAGTACTTTCCGAAGTTATCATCAACTTTTTTGAAGCAATTCAGTACTTCAGAAGTGATTCCGATCATTTCTGAAGTGATTCAATGCATTCTAAAGTGATTCAGTTCCTGCGTGAATGATTACAAACTTTTCGCAATGATTCCGATCCTTTCTGAAGTTATTCAGTACTTTGTGAAAGTGACTCCTTACATTGCTAAAGTGATTTCAAACTTTTCTGAACCGATTCATTACGTTCAGAAGTAATTTCTAAAGTGATGCAGTACATCCCAATGTGATTCAGTACTTTTAAGAGTGATTGAAAACATTTCTGAAGGGATTCAGCTCTTTCCGAAGTGAAACCACACTTTTCTGAACTGATTTCGAACTTTCCATAAATTATCCACTACTTTCTGATCTTTTATGAGGCGATGATACAGTCCTTTTCGAGGTGATTTCAAACATTCCTGAAGTGATTCAGTATGTTCCAAAGTTGATTTTAAACTGTAAGAAGCAATTCAGTACTTTACGAGTAAGAACTGTAAGAGGCGATTCAGATTCCGAGTATTTATGAAGTGATTCAGTGCATTCCTAAGTGATTCAGTTCCTGCGTAAATTATAACAAACTTTCCGCAATGATACAGTATTCCCAAAGTGATTTCCAATTTTTCTGAAGTGATTCCGATCTTTTCTAAAGTGACTCCGAACATTTCTTAAGTGATACAATACTTGCCAAAGTGATTCAGTACTTTCCGAAGAGATTGAAAACATTTCTGAACTGAGTCCAACTTTCGAACTTTTTCATAAATCATGCAGTACTTTCTGAAGTGATTCAGTACTTTTCAAAGTAATTCCGAACATTACTGAAGTCATTAGCTACTTTCCGAAGTGACTCAATTATTTTCTTAAGTGATTCAGTACTGATATGATATTTGCTTACCTCTCAGTATATTCTAACTTGTTTTTGATGTTGCGGTATTACATTGCAAAAATAATACTTAATTTGAAGAAATAGCACAACTTTTGTATTCGCCTTAGTACAAATTTGCTACCTATTCTTTTAGCCTTGACATGAACAGGGATCATGAAAACTGTCAGCGACGCATTCTATTTTGCTATCCCTAATAAACAAATACCATAAACGAACCAGTGGCGTCGCGTAACCTCACTTTTTACCTGTTCAACAACTTTGAAAACGTTATTTAGGGTCATGTTTACATTTCAATCAGGTTCAAAGGACACAGGGTCTTCTAGTTTGACTGATTTGTATCCATTTGAACCAATATTGTTTTGTTTGTTTACGTTTTGAGAGTTGTTGAACAGGTAGATTGAGGTTAGGACGACGCCACTGAAACGAACTGTGCCCTGGATGCGTAAACTATCCCACAAATGGTTTGGATGATACCCCGAACACGTCGTTAAGCTCTCTTTTATGGTTATTTTTATTAGGGATGTCCATGTTCTTCATTCCTTTATTTAACGTCGGTCTCGGTTCCGCAATCTAGTGCCAATTACCGACGCAATAGTGCAGGAAGGCAGCTTCCACACCTGCGTAGGATATCGCACCCATTCAACACACATGGGCCGGGACCAACGGCTTTACTTCCCTTCCGAAGGAAGACGTGACCAGAGATGTTTATGCCTCAGAAAAATCCCACCGATCTCGGCTGGGATTGAGCCCAGACTCATTGGGGTGTTAGAAAGCAGACACGCTTACCACTACACCACCGGCACCGGCAATAAATCCATGTTAATTTCTTAAATTTGTTTAGGTGTATATCTATCAGAAGTAGAGTTCCGTACAAAATCCCTCAAAAACTTTTCTAAGGAAATAAATTATAGATACAGATATCATCACCGATTTAAAAAATAAACGCAAAATCGCGGATTTCAATTTGGTAACCTTGGAGTCCGTCCATAGTGTACTTGTGACGGGTAGTGTGAATTATTTCACCTTTTCCGCAATCACAAGAAAGACCAGATGACAGCAAATCAAAATCCATTCTTTAGCGAACCCTGCCTCTACAAAACGGTACTCACTCTCCTACGAAATTCATTCCATCGAACGTTCTGCGCCTCCAACCTCTCAACAACGACGACAGAAAACATTCGTACACATTTGAATGCTTCACGAGCAAAACCTTTGCCCATCTCAGCCCACAGTTCAAATGTGATATTATGCAATAAATCGCTTGACAGGTCGATAAATAAACAAATACATGTATTCCTCCTATCAGCACCTCAAAGCTCTCCACGCAAAAATATGTAAATACAAATCAAAATGGCGGAGCAGTGCATCTCTATATAAACATATACCCGATTCCGCTACCACAGCAGGCCACCAAAAGGAACCGTACGTTCGTTCGTTCTCCTCGACCGTCCCGGTTTCCTCCCGATCATAACCCAACCAATCTCCTAGAGAAGAGAGAATGGGTGCCTAATTTGCGTAACTTTTACTCACAGGCACTCACACACCCAGCCACAATCGGTGTCAGCCGAGCACAGGTTTGACATTGCCTTATCGTTGCTGTAAGCTGAATGAGTTGCGGCTAGTGAGTGCCGATTTGTTGACAGTCGCTCAATCAGGTCACTCGCCAAAACTCTACACACCTCCAACTTATACGCCAATAATCATCGCTACTTTTGACACTGAGGAAAATAGCAGCAGTAGATGGAAGGATTTATTTTTTCACCAACACAATCATGAAAAACGTGGTTGAAAACAAATAGCTGTCACAGAGCCAATCAAAGGGATGTTTGTTGTCAGCCACAGTTCGCGTTCGGTTTTCACGACACTACTATGAAAAATTTGCATGAGAGCAAAAGAGACAGCAATACGATTATTCTACTCAGCCATTGAGTAGAATTGCTTGCGCTTAGTGTTCGTGAGATCCGCCGTCGTCGTCGCCATCATGCCATAGTTTCCAAGTGCTGCTCGGACGACTCAGACTGACTAACGCTACAAAAGTGCCTATCGCTGCCTGTTGCTGCTCGTTTTTGCTGACAAAATGACTCCGTTGCCCGTCAAACAAATGTGGTTTGTATCAGTCATTAATGCATCCGCATAGAAATCAAACACCGGAAAATTGATTAACGAAAGCTTCACTACAATTTCAGTCCATCCCGTCAAGAGTTCGTGTTCGGTTTGGCGTCACCGGTTGCTCGTCAGGAGCAACTGTTGCTCTCGGAGTACCTGTCGGATGTGGTCTTCCAGGTGGGCAGTACCGGCCAGTTGATGCACGCCCACAAGCTGATCTTGACGGTCGCCAGCGAGGTGTTCTTCGCCCAGTTCAATGGAGGGTTTGACGAGGCCAAGCAGGATAATCGCGATACTCCCATCATCATTGAAGACATCGAGTCGGCGATATTTACGCAGGTCCTGCGCTACATCTACTGTGAGAAAGTCGATCTGACTCCCGACAACATAATGGACATCTACTGTGCCTCGGAGAAGTACTTGCTGACCGGTTTGAATACGGTCTGTACAAAGTTCCTCAAGACAACCCTCAACGTGGAGAACGTCCTGAAAGTGTTCAACGATAACCGGCAGTACGGTTTCGCGAATGTGGACGAACTTTGTTTGAGCATCATTAGCGACAACCCGATCAGGTGCTTTCAGAGCGAAGATTTCCTGAAATTGCGTCAACCGGCGCTGGAACTGATCGCCGCCTGTCGGGCCATGAACTGCCAAAAGGATCAACTCTGCACGGCCATCCAGGAATGGTGCAAAGCCAACGACTCAAAAGCAGTCTTCAAGCCTCAACTGGAGGCCTTACTATGTGACAAACTGTACTCGTTCAGTACATTCCGTTATGACGATGATGTCAGCACAGATCTCAAGATCAACGTAAAGGGAAAAATGCATCTCCATGGATTGGGCGTTTTCATAGGAAGCAACTCGAAGCTTTTTGCTCCAACTAGCGTGGATCTGACGGTTCAGATTAAACCGTGGAATGTAATTGTCAACAGGAGTGTCTGCCTCCGGAAGAATCTTTACATCGAGAATATTCTGTTCGAAAAGCTCGCCGTTACGAACGAATGCCGGATCATCGTTACGCTTCCGAAGAGGTTCTTGTTTTGCCTGGAGCAGTTCCATCCGGTTGATACGCAGGGAGCGCTCGAGTTGACGGTTACCGATATGAAACTTACCAATGAATACTTGATGCCCGCTTTAACGTCTTTTAGTTTCAACACTTCTAATCAACCTCCCAGGTCAGCTTTTAATCAACCCTTTGGAGTCCAAACTACGAAGGAGCAGCAGGGGACCAACTGTGTGGCATATCTTTTGTACAGTTCTTAAGGAACTTGGAAATAGGTACTAACTTTCACCATTCCAACAGATGTCACCCCGTAAGTGACAGACCAGCTTATGCCAAAATTGAATCAATCCATAGCAGTTCTCCGGAATTTCGAAAATTTTCCCGGTTGTGCATATAAATTAAGCATAAAAGCGAATGCGATGAAGTTAAATGGGATCATTACTAAGATAGTAGCATTTTTCCGGGATCTTGAATTCGGTTCTGCGTTCGAAGTCTGCACAATTTGTCGATGAAAATATCAAAATAAGACAAGATTTTTTATTTGATGGTTGTCAAGCATTTCTCGATGAACATTTCAAATGGTCCTATCTGCTTTGATCGATTCTCTTCATCGACTTTCTCTTTTCATAACACCTGCTATGCAAACAGATTTCGCGCTAATTCTACCACATAGTTTGATAAAGGAGGTTCTTATCTAGCGTCCAAAACGTCAAATACAACAGGGAAAGGTTTGGCAGCTGAGTTATTGACGAAAGAGAAAGTCGGTGAAGAGAATCGATCAAAGCAGATAGGACCATTTGAAATGTTCATCGAGATTTCCTTTCGAATAATTTGCCTTCACAGAAAACTAAAAAAAAAAATCGTTTAAATAATTTCCTGCTTCACTCAATTTTTTTTAAATTTGGCTTTAACCGAAGACATCATATCAAGAAGACTGGAAACTTCGTCAGAATCCAATCGACAGGTACAAAAACGCTGCGCTTGAGTGAAGGTGGAAGCAACGCATAGGAAATGAGCAAATACACAAACCCTTCTTCTGCGGATGAAATCTTTGCTTGCTATCAAATTCGTTCGAAGTATTTACCTTTGAGCGGCAGATGACGCGATTGTACCTGTCTCATAGCGTTCGTATGAGAAAATGGAAGAGTTGCCAGTCTTCTTGATTTGTTGTTGTTGATTTTCTCAAAATTATCGAATGAATGAAAATTCAATTGGAATTCTCCTTAAACACTATTTTCGCGATGCCCCTGGAATTATTCTCGGTATTCCCTTAAAACTCTTCGACGAATTTCTTTGGAATTGTACCCTTTGTAATTGTGTAACTTCACAATCGTCATGGAATTTTCACAAAGACCTACTTAACATTTTTACTCTGAAGTCACACAATTAACTAGGAGTTCTAGTCAAAATTCACTAGGAAATTTTCTCTTAACAACCATAGTGTGTAAAATCTGTTCAAAGTTACATTGGAAAAAAAATTCTGAATTGCTCAAAATTACTGTATCCTGTAAATCTAGTCCAGTTCAAGGTCCAAAATCTTTTTTTTTAGAGGTATATTTTTCCCGATTTGTGACTTCAAATTCCCGATTTCCCGGTCACCGTGATAAGTGCTGCAAGATTATTGATGTTACTAATGTCTAAGGCCATTGTTAAGACCATGCATTACTGCCACGTAGTGCTTGCAAAAAATCATGTACATGTATATTTAGTCTATTGAATGATCTACGAAATAAATTGGTTTCTGAAGAAAACTTAATTGCCTTACTCTTTGCATTGAACAAGTTCCATATATTGAAAATAAACGAGAAATAACAGGCAAAATCAGCCTGACTCCAACAAATTTCTGGAAGAAAAATAGAGTGAGGCGATTGAAAGGTGGAAGCAGCACTACGATGAACATCTGAATGGCGCAGAGGTGGAGGACACCAAGGCGGCAGGAGGAATGGCTTCGTCGGTACAGCGGATGAGGGGGACATGCCAGCTCTCACGATAGGTGAAGTTAAGGATGCTATCCGACAGCTTAAGAACAACAAACGGCTTAAGCTAGAATGTGACACATCCTTCGCCGTCTACAGCCGCTAGCTAGCAAGCAGATTTGTGGGAAGTTATCAAGCCGGTTTTGTGGACGGGCGATCGACAACGGACCAAATCTTTACGTTGCGGCAGATCCTCCAAAAGTGTCGTGAATATCAAGTCCCTACGCACCACCGATTCATCGATATCAAGGCCGCTTATGATACTATTGACCGTGAAGAGCTATGGAAGAGTATGGACGAGTACGGTTTTCCCGGTGTTATATCCGTAACCAAGGCCAACAAGTAAAACCAAGCTGTTGTTAGGTGCTACTATTTATTACGTCTATCTTGGTTGGTGGACGGATAAAGAATCAATCTCGAACTTATGACAGTCAGGTAAGGCCTACTACATCTCCCCCTTTTAGAAAATGTCATAGGAAGAGAGCCATCTTGGAATTCTTGATTCTCGTACAGAACGTCGAATAAAGTCTCCAACTGCTTCAGATGACACGGGCTTTTGTGCGGACTGAAGTTCTCCATCTTGAGCAGCAGGTTCATGATCGATTGTCGAAAAAGGATTTTCGCCAGACGTACTTGCCGCTTGACCATCAGCTTCGAGTGATACGGAACCAACAGGAATAGGGACATCGTGATTGAATGGCACTTCTGGATCCAACGGTACAGCTTCATCTTGAATTTCATCAAGCAGGATTTCCCATGGTAGTTGCTGCGTCGCTTGCTCTGGATCATCAGAAGTGTGACGAGGGCGCATTTGGTTTACATGCGACCTCACCAGCTTCGGTCTCCCGTTCATGTCCAGTGCAACGATATAGTTGACGGAACCTTTCCGTTCGATGACTCGACCAGGAATTGGCGTTTCTGCGATGCTGTTCAACGTAGACCAGGTCATCTTCTTCAAACTCGCGCTTGACTGCTCCATGCCGCCAATTGAACTGTTCGTTTGTGGTTCTTGACAGCTTCAGTTACAGGAACAGGTTTCTTCAGCAGGCCCAAAGTGGTGCGCACTGGTCTGCCGAGGAATGCTTCTGCTGGAGACGTCGACTGCGGTGTGTTTCGGTTTGGGATTGAACGATACACCGAAAGGAATGTCTGCAGGTGCTCCAGTGTGGGTGATCCTTCCCCCTTGGCTAGCTCCTTGAGGCCACGCTTGAGTGAATCAACGAATCGCTCCGCTTGGCCGTTGGACTGCGGGTGGTAGGGAGCAGTTCGGAGATGGGTGATACCATTTGCACGGCAATACTGTTGAAACTGCTCGCTGGTGAATTGCGTTCCGTTGTCTGAGACCAATGTGTCTGGGTTGCCGTAACGAGAAAACGTTTCACGCAGCATATTCAGGGTTGCAGTTATGGTAATGGATTGAGTTTCGAAAAATTTCGGGCCACTTAGAGAAAGCACCTACCATGATGAAATAGTAGTATCCATGGACCGGACCAGCAAAATCGATATGGACACGTTGCCATGGCTTGTCCGGGAGAGACCATGACTCCAAGGTTGCTTTTGTCGGGGACTTCGCTGCTTCAGCACATGCAGTGCACTGACGGACAAATTGCTCCACATCGTCGTCAACGTTAGGCCAGTAGATGTAACTTCGGACCAGAGACTTCATTCCGTCCATTCCTGGGTGTCCACGATGCAGTTGACGAACGATCCACTTTCGAAACTTTGATGGGACGACGATTCGATCGCCGAACATAACGCAGTTGTCGACAACTTGAAGTCCATCTCGTCTGGCGAAGAACTTCTTGACATCAGGATGCATAGCCAAAATTCGTCGATGAAACGTGTTGGATGTCGAAATCATACAGCAGAAGTGTCAAGGCCCAGCGCTGCAAACGGTTTGCTGTGTAAACAGGAATACCTTTCTTTGAGCCGAAAACCTTGAGTAGCGGTTGATGATCGGTTTGCAGGAGGAAGTGTCGTCCATACAGCATTTTGTGGAAACGGGTGACAGCGAATATCAGGGCCAATGCTTCCTTCTCCACTTGTCCGTAGTTCATCTCTGCTGGGGTCAGTGAGCGCGAGGCGTGCCCAAATTGCCTTCACTTCACCGGTCGGGAATCGATGCATGATGACAGCGCCAAGGCCGTACTTCGATGCATCTGCTGCAACAACGATTTTGGACGGGTCGTAGTGTGTAAGCAGCAGGTCGGAAAGTAGAATGGCCTTGAGCTGCTCGAAAGACTTCTGGCAATCCTAGGTCCAGTTCCAGCGTGCATCTTTCTTGAGGAGGCTGTCCAGGGGAGCCCTGAGTTGCTTCATCTGCTTAACGAATCTACCATAGTAGTTGACAGCACCGAGGTAGGAACGGTGTTGCTGGACATCCTTCGGAGACTGCATCTTGGAAATGGCTTCTGTTTTTGAAGAGTCAGGCCGAATACCGTCCTTATCCACGATGTGTCCGAGAAACTTGATCTGGGAGAGTACGAAACGACATTTTTCGAGGCGTAGGTGAAAACCATACTCACGGATCTGCTCGAGAACAGCGTAGAGACTGCGATCGTGTCCAAATACGGCTTGACTCCAGGGATGCCGGCCACCATGCTGTCGATGATGCGCTGGAAAGCGCCGGGTGCCGACTTGACTCCGGGGGGTAGTCGGTTATACTGGAACAGTCCACGATGCGTGTTGACCGTGAGTAGCTTTCGCGATTCCTCCTCGACCTCGACCTGTAGGTAAGCGTCAGACAAATCGAGATGAGTGAAGTAACGTGCTCCAGCTAGTTCCGCAAAGAGGTCGTCAGGATGAGGCAGTGGATGATGGTCACATTCTAGCGAGCGCGTTGTTCAGCCCCGTCGAATAATCGCCACATACACGGACTGATACATTGTCCGACTTGCGTACGACGACTATTGGTGCTGCCCAGGGAGAGAATTGAACTCTAATCTCTAACTTATGACAGTCAGGCAAGGCCTACTATATCTAGGCCTACTACACCCGGGAAGCTGACCAGACCGATCAGGGCTACGATGGATGGTGTACAGTGCTGCGTGAAGATGTCGGGTGCGTTATCGGACCCGTTTAAAACTCGCAAAGGACTTCCATAAGGCGATGGTCTTTCCTGCCTCCTGTTCAACATTGCGCTAGAAGGTGTTATGAAACGTGCGGGGCACGATCTTCAATAAGTCCAGCCAGTTCATCTTCTTCGCTGACGACATTGTCAGAAGCAGAGAAGGTTGGATTAAAGGTGAATACGTCGAAGACAAAGTATCTGTTAGCTGGAGGAACCGAGCGCGATAGGGCTCGCATAGACAGAAGCGTGACAATCGACGGAGATGAGTTCGAGGTGGTGGATGAATTTGTGTTCCTCGGATCATTGGTGCCGTCGGATAACAACTTTAGCAGAGAAATTCGTAGACGCATAGTTGCCGGACTCCACAAGACCCTGAGGTCGGGTAAACTTCACCCCCGTACTAAATGCACCATGGACAAGACGCTGATAAGACCGGTAGTTCTCTACGGGCACGAGACGTGGACGATGCCCGAGGAGGACCTTCAAGCACTGGGTGTTTTCGAACGACGA